GATGGTTGCAGCCGATGCTGAGATGGGAAATTAAAATAAAATAAATCAATTAAGGACCTTTAGATTGAGGATGGCTTGAGTGAACGACGGCTACCGGAAGTAAATTTTTCCTTGGGAATGCTATTGCGCAAGTGCGAACAGGTGGAAAACCGCGTGCTCGATCTGTGAACGACGTGAAAACAGGCGACTCGAGGTTCTATAGAAAACGGCAGATTCAAATCCTAATAAACAAGGTAAATTTTTGAATTTCGTTCACTTTTTGCCAGCATCTTCCAGCTTTGCGCTTTTTCTCGGCCGTGCCTTCTAGTGAGGCGATTACATGTGGATACAGTTTCCAACGAAGGATTTTTTCCAACAGGTACTTGAAGTTAAAAACAATGTTTGCTAACAAGCAGCCAAGTTCAGCCAAATCCTTGTAAGTTTTTCTGTAAAATTAGAACTTGTGTATTAGATTCGACTGTAAATAGAATTAACCCTTGATTTGTAATTCTCCTCCGTAGAATGCAATGGACCGATGAGCCTCATACCCTCCTTCTGCGAGAGATTTTAGCCTCGGAACCCTTCAAATACAAACCTCGAACTTAACAGCGCAGTAATCTGTGGAATACTGTAGTTGTTCACTTAATGATGTTACGAATCCAGCCTTGACGGTTACCTAAAGAGCCGTGAAAGACAAATTTTGTCTCTTGAAAGAGAAATATCTCGCTAAAAAGAGAGAGCAGGATAAAGCATAGATGTAGAGGAGACCGAGGTTGATGTGCTTCTTGAGGAAATCATCGAGAAAGAGAAGTATTATGAATCAGAATACAAGGATAAAGATGAAGAGCATGAAAGAAAAGTTGAGAAAGGAAAGGCCACTGCCAGTGCCATGCGGCAAAAAGCAATAGAAAGCCTTGTTCCTTGAAGAGAATGCATCTTACGAGAAAATGAACCCTTCATCATTTATGACCTCTGATAAATGATAAAGTGTGAAAAGATCACGAATTTCCCTAAAATTAGCCATGATATTTTGGCGACTTCCAAATTCTAAACGTATTGGATTGAGTGGATCTTAAAGCTCAGTTTCCCGCGCAAACGACACCGTACTCTAACCAGGCTCTCCTCCGTGATGATGTTCTCAATAGAAGCCCCCGACCCTATTGTCAATTTCAATTTTCCTTGATTATCTCCATTCGCTTAACACGTGCAACTTAAAAGATAAAAAGATAAGTTGCTTAATTACGGACCGATAATTTTTTATGGGGGAGGGGAGGGGGGAAAAGGGGGGGGGGGTTTGGGGTGTCACGATAAAATTTACCTGGTTCCCCCATAAGCCTCCGTAATACTCTTATGATCCTGCCTCATTGGCAGTTCAATGGCAGCCAATTCTCTATAGTTCTGTAAAGGGTAGTCAGCTGGAAGTCTGCTAGTGGTGCCAGACCTCCAGCATACCTCTCTCCCCGATATCGTCTCAAGTCTTCCCGCGGGCAGAGGTCTGCCGATAGGAAGTCTCGTGCCCACCCCTTTCTCGGCCAATCGGTTGTAACGTACATTTCCGTTACAGTAAGATCTGGGTACGAGATTATATTGGCCCGCAAGCTACTGAATTTGAGCGAAACCGTTAGTTTTTGGCAGAAATCTAAACTGCAAATGAACAAAGGGGGTGCGTTTCTAAAACTGACGCAAAAAGCATTTATCGAGCTATTTCATGCTTTGACAGTCCGCCTATTCTTGTTTCGGGTACTCATTCGCTAATTATGATGTGGATAAGACTGGTTTTGTTATTTCGACACGCATGTGGAGCCTGCTTTATTCTAAAATTGACGTTGGAATGTTCTAAAAATGGTTCCCAGAGATTTACATGCTACATATTTGCACCTCAAAGGCGAAGACCACACTAAGCTCGTCTTAGTTCCCCCATAGATACCGATGAGGCGCGGTAAAATGAACATGGACTACAAACAAATGTAAAAACGAAAGAAGCAATTTGATTCTCGTTGCATTCTTTGTATAATATTAAGTCTTGCTACAGCTACAAAAAATAGGCAACATCAACTACACAGGTACACGAAATTAAGCAGGTATCCCTTGGGGAAATAATGGAGACGTTACATAATATATTGTTTTAATTTCAAACCAGGAAATGAATAATGTACGCAAAAGTAAAACATAGTTAAGAGCTTGCGGTCCTGCTGGAAGCTGTCATAAAAATTTCACTCTTTCCGTTTACACGCTTGCTTACTCTACAGTTTTTCCGTCATGTCAGTTCTTCATTCTTCAGTCTCCAAAGCCGTACAGCGTGGCGGTCGCCGTCTTGCGTTTGGCATGTTCAGTGTATGTCACAGCGTTGTGTATCACGTTTTCGAGAAAATTTTGAGAACTCCGCGAATTTCTTCATAAATGAGTCCTGAAATGAGCTTCACACCACCTCTCTTGGCCGGCTTGGTTATACCCTGAGAGTTGTCTCTTAGAATTTTTTTGTGACGTTTCGCACCTCCTTTACCCAAACCTTTTCCAAAAAGGTGTTTATGTTCACGACAGTACATGGCTCAACGCTTTGATAAGTCATTTTTTTATTTAGCCATAGTTGATAAGAGGGGAATTCCATTGAAGCATCTTCGAAAAAGCAGCTATAACTCATGAAAAAGCGAGTTCTTGTTACCAATATAAGTATTACACTAGGAAGGACTGAGATAAAGTCCGCCAAGAAAATTTTCCTTACCTTAATGAGAACACACTTTTACGGGCATAAAGGGATAAAGCATTTGTTTGCACTAATTATAATTAATGGATCACGTTGCAGGCAGATATCATGCATTATTTTCTTTCAATTTACCACTTTTCACTTTGAAGGGTAACTTTTATTGCTAACAAAAAAGTTTCATCGTTACTGCTTTCGTTTGCACAAGTCTGACGATTAACTAAGCTTGTTTGCAAAATAAGTAAAAACAAAAAACAAAAACAAAGCGAAAATAGTTTTTAAGTAATTTGTTGTGACCATGAAATAACAGCGTTTTCTTAATTTACTTTTTCCGATGATATGGCATGGAACTTTTATCTTAAATGACTAAATTTTACTTCGACAGTTCACTTATCGCATGTCCATGCTGAACAAGATATAGTTCTTTCTTGGTTTATATTAATTTGCAGGAAGATTTAAGTGCACGTAATTTAAGTGGCTAAAAATAGCGTACTGGAGTAGTATACGGTGCTCACATTAATAAACAGTCAACTCCTTAACTCCCCCATTAATATGCAATTTGGAGAAAGTTTAAAGCAAGCAGGTAATGAGAATGACTAAGATGATCAATTTAGGGACATGGTATCGATAGCAAGATGGTCACGAATAAATAACAAATGAATATAAGGTATGATCATGAGTGAAGGGAATAAAGTTCCAGCTCTTTCATTATCCATCTTCTCCCAACTAGCATAATCGTTTCTCTCGACCCGTGTCCCCTTTCGTCCATATTTCGACGGCGGTAATGTCTCCGTGCGGGGTTGTGGTGGCGATTCCCTGCTTTGGTATTCGCGACTTCCGCTTTAGCGCGTTTCCCCGTTTCAATGGCAAAATTGATGCCACTTTGTCTCGAGCCTTCTCCAACAGCTCCATGGTTTCGCCGACAGTCTTTTTGATTGATTTCAAACTCTCCAGAAATTCTTCATTCGCATTATGAATAAATTTCTGGCCAGATTAAATATGCCATCCGTTTGAATCGAACAGCGCATTACCATCTTCAGTTACTTTCGCATTCAGCTCATCGATTTTGACCTTCGGCTTCGAAAGGTCATCAGTGTTGTTCTTAATAGTGGTAGCGTCATGACGTTTCGCGCTAAAACTTTCCTCCACGAATCTCCCGGCAACCGCTGGATTATCAGAAGTCACAAAACGCCAACTTGTGATTTATTGCTTTCAAAGCCTCGCGAACTTCCCACCGGCGCTTTCTTTCAGTCACGAAACAGCGGCGAAAGCGTTCCTTGTAGGGACAAGTGGTCCAAAAGGACGTTTAGAATTTTTGCAGAATACTATTCGAGAATTCAGTATATTCACCCTTTGGGTCCAGGAACCACCCTAGGTCTTCATCTTTCAATTTCTGTGGACTTGCACTTTCACTTGTTCCCTTACCCGATGTGCCACCAACAGAGTCAGAGGAGTAGCGGGCATCCTTTTTAGAATGGTAAGTCGGCAAACAGCCACAATAGCCACAAGTTGCTCCATCTGACCTCATGAAATCCTCGCATTCACCACAACCGCATTTTCCTCCTTCTGTTCCTCGTACGTCCTTACCCATTATCAAGTTTTCACCGTGCAATCACACGCCACGCTATTCACTGCTTTGTGCGCAGATGCGGTTGTCTGAATAACACTTCCCGTTAATTATTTTCACTTCCGGTGATTTTTGTCTTGGAGGAGATGGGGGGGAGGGTCAGATATTTGTGAAGAGTCATACATTAATCCATTCTGGGAAGTGCGACCCACCCCCCCCCCCTCCCCTTAAAAAACGTACCTTCCCTTACTCTTTTGGGGTAAAAATTTATTCAAAGCAGAATGCTGCATATGAAAACGAAAACAGAGATGTCTTTAAAGCTAACAATTAGCCCGCAGATGTTTTCAGGTGATTTTATATAATACAAGCTGACCGGGAATTTTATGAGCTTAAAATTAAGCATGTTTTTTCTTGTGATCTCCTTTCGCCTAGACGCAGTAATAGATAGGTTTTTGAATTGATTTCACAAATATTTCCAATTTCTAGACAAGTTAATGGGTCAGTTATGTAAAATGTGGTCAAAAAATTAGTCTCGTAATAAAAGTGCTTAAAAGCTTTTCTTTTGACAGATAGTCGAAGGCTCAAATTTCGGGCTTATCCATGACGATTACGTGACAATTTGAAGTTGAAATTTATTATGAAAAATAAGTAATTACCGTTCCTTTTGTGGCATAAATGACAGATGAACTATTTAGGTGGCTTTCTGCTGTAGAAACCCAAATAGTATGCATCTACTTCTAACAGCAACGATTACTGCAAAGACTGATTCTCAAATAGCGAGAACTTAGGTATTAGAAAGAGTTCCATAACGGATTGTCATTTACAGCTAAAAGGTGAGACGCATTCGACGCGCTTTCATGGAAATACCGCAGAACATATCTTGGAGAACAAATCAGCCATCTGGCGTAATTTTACAATCGGCGTTCAAGTGTCGTTCATGTTGATACCGGAATACCTCAGGGACGGCGGAGCAAGGGGCTGGGGTAAGAGAGGCTTTCAAGGACACATTTTATTTTGTTTTAGTTTGAGTATTAACATCTCCAAGATATATGATTGAAAAACAAGCCTCGGAGAAAATTGTCTATTCCAAAAGACAGTCGAATCTTGACTGCTTACGTCTGTTGATTTGTCTGACGTAAGTTCTTTCTTTATCATCGGCTTACAACTTTAAAACCCATACCTCAAGCACAGGATACCTTTTGTCGATGTTCACCACTTTTGGGAGGAAAGGTAACGTTTTAGGCAGAATGTTGAATCAGCAAAAGAATCGCTGCCCGAAATAGGGAGAAACTGTCCCGCTAAAGAATTGCAACACGTTCAATTTGTTTGGAATAGAGGGTCCTATCTTTTGTGAGTGAGTTGATATCATGAAAGAGTCATTTTGTAACGATTCTTTGGAATATTTTCCCACATACACGGAACTTAAAGATCTTCGTTCGACTTTTATCGCCAACTGCATTTTTAACAATTTTATAGCTCACACCTCCATCATGTTGAATATTGTGACAATTTACGCTATCCACAAAACTTCGGCAATAGCAAAAACTTTGAAAACTCTGCTGCTGAGTCTTGCCTGCTCTGATGTTGCTGTTGGTTTGTTTATCCTACCATTATCCACCTTTTTTTTGGTCAAGTGGTTACAACTGGACAATCCTAACTGTAATATTTATCAAGTGCTGAATATTTCAGGTTATTTATTCTTAACTGCTTCGTTCTTTGGTGTTGTGGCTGTAAGTGTAGACAGGTTCTTAGCTGTTCATCTTCATCTCAGATATCAAGAGCTTGTGACTCACAGGCGTGTTGTTGTTGTGGTGATCGGCAAATGGCTTTGCAGTGCATTTTTTTCTTTGATAACATTGTGGGGGTTAGCTGGTGCTAAGGAGATTATAGATTCAGTTATTGTAGCTTTCGGTTTCATTGTCACATTTGTGGTGTACATCAGGATATATTTAACTGTACGACGGCACAAGAAACAGATTCACTCTATGCAAGTACAAGAAGTAGCTCATTCTGATGAATTAAAAAACTTTATGGTTCTCATGAAATCCACAGTTAGCATATTCTACGTATATCTCGTGTTGTTAATTTGTTATTTGCCTTTTTGTATTTGCTCGGCTGTTATTCGAATCTATGCCTCGAGTATCGCTTCAAAACATTTTTTTCTTTACTCAATATCTCTTGTGTTTCTTAATTCATCTTTGAACCCTGTCATTTACTGCTGGAGGATGAGACATGTTCGACGCACTATCATGGACATACTACGGAAGATTCCTTGGAACAGCGATCGGCCATTACGAATAAACTACAATCGATCATCGAGTGTCGTCCAAGTTGATAACTGATCCACTCTGTGCGTCTAAAAAGGACTGTGTACGATTTGTTTACGATAAAGGAAATGGAGAGAAAGACCATTGTTCATAAACTTAGTGATATGACTGACTCAGCCAAATAATTGTATATCCAGTCGAATTTTAAATATACACACTACATCAAATTATCACAAGTGGAAAGAAAGAGCCGCATTAGACAGGAAGCTGGTTTAATTATCGATGTGTTTCAGCTAATCCCTAAATTAAACGAGCACAATTTGCTTTTTGCTTCAGCCTGGTTATGTATCCTAGGAAGGTTAAAATATAAGAAAACTGTTAAGGCTCACGACAGTACATGGTTCAAAACTTGGATAAGTCATTTTTATTTAGCCACATGTTGATCAGAGGGGAATTCCTTCGAGGCATCTTCCAAAAAAGGGCTTTAACTCATAAAAAAGCGAGTTTTTATTATCAATATAATTATTTTTTTCCAAAGAAGCATTACCCTACCCGCGAAGAAAATTTTTCTTACCTTCATGAGAACACACTTTTACGGGCATAGAATTAAAAAGCATCTGTTTACACTAATTTGAGTTAATAGATCACGTTGCAGGCAGAGATCATCCAGTATTTTCCTTTCAATTTACCTCTTTTCACTTCGAATGAGTATATTTATTGCTTACATCATCTTGAAAATATGAAATATTTGCAATTAGAAAGAATTTCATCCTTATTGCTTTCGTTTGCTCAAGTCTCACAATTAACTAGGCTTGTTTGCAAAATAGGAAAAAAATAGCTTTTGAGTAACTTGTTGTGACCATGCAATTACATCGTTTTACCTAATTTACTTTTTCCGATGATATGGCATAGAACTTTCATCTTAAATGACCGAATTTTACCGCAACAGCTCACTTCTCGCGTGACCTTGCTGATCGAGAGATAGTTCTTTCTTGGTTTATAATAATAGTTTATAATATAATAACGCGAACAGCTCCCTCACAGGTAGCGTAGAACTTTTATCTTAAATGACTGAATTTTACTACGACAGTTCTCTTATCGCGTGTCCATGCTGATCGAGATAGTACTTTCTTGGTTTATGGTAATTTGCAGGAAGATTTAAGTGCAAATAATTTAAGTGGCTAAAATTAGCATGTTGGAGTACTATACGGTACTCATATTAATAAACAGTCAATTCCTTAACTACCCCGTTAATGTGTAATTTAAAAAAAGTTTAAAGCAAGCAGGTAATGAGAATGACAAAGATGATCAATTTCAGGACGCGGTATTGCAATTATCAAAACTCTCAATGCGAAACTTCTGTTTTTCCTTAAAGGCAGGAGAAAACGAGACTGTTACAAATATTCTCCGAGATGTTGAAAGACATTTTCAAGTTGCCATTCAGTCATCATAGATATGCCCAAAATTTAAGCTGTCCATTATCTGTACAAATAAACTTTTGGAAACTTTTATTACGAGACTAGTGTTTTCACTACTTTTCATTTTATAGGCCCATTAACTTGTCTAGAAATTGTAAAGAATTGTCTAATTGGTTGCAACCCTATCTGGTATTTGCATCTAAGCGAAAGGAGATAATGAGGAAAAACATGCAAACATCTGCGGGCTAATCAATAACTCTATAGCCACCTCTGTTTTCGTTTTCATATGCAGCATTCTGCTTCGACTCAGTTTTTACCTCAAAAGTGTTAAGGCAAACTGGATGCTTTTCGTTGTTTGTTTAATTTTTAAGCATATCGATCAATCCATTTTTGTTTTGAATCCACTCATTAGCTAATGATTAACATCGATTTTTTTCTTCCCCTGTAAATACTAGCTGCTTTTTGTTTTTCTTCCTGAGGGCAAAACGTGACGTTCTCAATGTGACGCTATACTGTTTTATCATTGGATAATTCAAAGTTTGCAACTATTAACATAATGAAAGACGTGCAAGTTTATTCCCTTCAGTCATGATCATACCTTACATTTATTTGTTGTTTAGTTCTGAGAATCTTCCTATCAATACTATGTCCCCAAATTGATCATCTCTGTCATTCTTATTACCTGTTTGCTTGAGAATGTCTTTAAATTACACATTAAGGGGAGTCAAGGGGTTGACTATTTATTAAAAGGAAGGAGTTCGTTTAGCACTATTACAGTCAGAGTAACTTGGAAATACTGCTTTTGCGGCAGAGGGACGGATGACATAAGTTTCCTTCTGTTTTATCTGAAGCTGGCATGTCAGTTACTTGTTAATGCTAATTTAAGAGAAGGGGATTTGGCGAAACAGTTGGCAGTCATGGCCAAAATTTACATGGGGGAAAAAAAGGCTTTTCCGAAGCTCAAATCCGAAACCATCGTTATTGGTTTTAATTCTGATTTGAAATTAAGAGCGACAAAAACCTTGATATAAATAATCTCATGTCTCCTATCTTACTTTTATCTGCATCCATAATTACAATTTCACCACTCATCGATGACAAAACCAGCTTTCTTCCAAAAATTAGCCCCATCCCTTCCAAACCAGAGACCATTGGACTTATCACGTACTTAAAATTGGAACTACGCAATAATTTGGCTGCCGGGTCTTATCATTAAGTTTTTATTCGACCTTGTATGTCCTTATTTACTTTGTCGTAGACAATTACTGCGCGCAGTCTTTGTAAGCCACACAGAGGGGATCAGTTATCAATATGGACAACATTTGATGACCGATTGTAGTTGATCCAAAATGGCCGATTGAATTAAGAAGAAGCATTACACTAAGTGAGAGTGTGATCAACTCCGTGAAGTAAATTTTTCTTGCATTAATTAGAACACACTTTTACGGGAATAGAGTGATAAAGCATCTGTTTGCACTAATTTTAATTAATGGATCACGTTGCAGGCAGATATCATGCAGTATTTTCCTTTCAATTTACCTCTTTTCATTTTGAAGGGTAACTTTTATTGCCGTGAACATCACTGTGACAATGTGAGCAATAAGAAAGATTTTCATCGTTATTGCTTTCGTTTGCTCAAGTCTCACAATTAACTAGGCTTGTTTGCAAAATAGGAAAAAACAAAACTAAACGAAAATAGCTTTTGAGTAACTTGTTGTGACCATGCAATTACAGCATTTTACCTAATTCATTTTTTCCGATGATATGGCATAGAACTTTCATCTTAAATGACCGAATTTTACTGCGACAGCTCACTTCTCGCGTGACCATGCTGATCGAGATATAGTTCTTTCTTGGTTTATAATAATTTCGAGGAAGGTTGAAGGTGCATGTAATTTAAGTGGCTAAAAATAGCGTGTTGGAATAGTATGCAGTGCTCATATTAATAAACAGTCAACTCCTGAACTCCCCTATTAATGTGTAATTTAAAGAAGGTTTAAAGCAAGCAGGTACATGGTACTTACTGATAGTAAGATAGTCACGAATAAACAACAAGTAAATATAAGTTATGATCATGAGTGAAGGGAATAAACTTCTAGCTCTTTCATTGGAAGTTAAAAGCTTTATATGATCCCGCACGATGAAATAGTATAGCGTCACATTCACTTACTTCTAAAAGCAACGATTACTGCAAAAAGTCATTTGGGAAAAGCGAGGTCAGTGGTAGAAAACAATGATAACAAAAGTTCCATAACATATTATCGGTTAAGATAACTAAAACCAAACATTTCTTATTGTTCAGAATGTACTGTTGTCACCTTGAAGGCTGTTTGGTGTTTTATTTATTTCCTTAGGGGATTTTGGTTGAGTCAAGATAAAACAACATTATCCCCCATAAGACTCTGTAATATTGTAATATTCTTGTTACCTCCTCCCTCCTTATTAACGTGTCAGTTTTTAATAATCTCCCTTTACACTCTGTTGGCGACGACTGATCACCCACCTTTTGTTTACCCCCGAAAACCAGGCGAAATCGACGCTGTTACAAATATTCTCAAGGGCGAGTTTCTTTCTCCCCCCCAAACTCTCTTGGCGTCGACTGATCTCCGTTCTGTTGCCCCTGAAAACCAGGAGAAATCGAGGCTTTTAGAAAAAATATTCTCCGACGTTTTGGAAGACATTTTAGAATTGTCACGGAATTATCATCGATGTGCCAGAAATTTAAGCCGTCGATTATCTGTACAAACAAACTTTTGAACACTTTTATTTCGAGACTAATGTTTTCAATACATCTCATTTTATTGATCCATTAACTTGTCTAGAAATTGCAAAGAATTCTCATATTGATTCCAAAACCTATCTGTTATTTGTATATAAACACAAGAAATAACAAACTTAATTTTAATTTCTCAAAACTCCCGTTATTGTCAAGAACCACCTGCAAACATATCCAGGGTAATCAATAACTCTAAAGCCACCTCTGTTTTCCTTTTCATATGCAGCATTCTACCTCGACTACGTTTTTACCTCAAAAGTGTTAGGACAAATTCGATGCTTTTTGTTCTTTATTTAATTTTCAAGGATATTTATCAATCCATTTTCGTTTTCAATCCACTCACTAGCTAATGATTAACATCGATTCTTCTTCCCTCATAAATACTAGCTCCTGTTTGTTTTTCTTCCTGAAGGGATTACGAGACGCTCTCAATGTGACGCTCTACAGTTTTATCGTAGGCTTATTTAAATTTTTAACTTCTAATGAAAGAGCTGGAAGTTTATTCCCTTCACTCACGATAATAACTTATATTTATTTGGTTTTTAGCCTGAGAATCTTACTATCAATACCATGTCCTTAAATTGATCATCTCTGTCATTGTTATTACCTGTTTGCTTGAGAATTTCTTCAAATTACACATTAAGGGGAGTCAAGGGGTTTACTGTTTGTTAACTTATTACAGAGTTATTTGGGAATTCTGCTTTAGAGGCAGAGGGATGGCACAAGTTTCTTTCTGTTTTATTTGAAGCTTGCATGTCACTTAGCTGTCAGTGCTAGTTTTAATAGATTCGGCGAAACAGTTGGCAGTTATAGTAAAAATTTAATTAAACAAGCCTCGTGAAAAAAATGTTAAAAGTCCCTTTTGACAGAGGATATATATATATATTTAAAGGAACTAAGTAAAGCGAAAATTGTGAAAATACTGATCGGCGGGAACAAAGAATGAATAAACAAGTACAAACAGCTTGTCGTCACGTTTTACAAGGAGTCAGATAGGATTACAGCGGCACCTGTATGAGGCGGCTCCGCATTAGCGATCACCCTGTATTTACCTGTCGGTTCTCAAAGTTAAGCAGTCGTGGTCACCCTTTCCTGGGTCCCAGCGGCTTGTTGTTATCTTTATAAAAGGCTTCTGTTGTTTTAAAGAAAAAAAGGTCTAGGTTGGAACCTATGTTGATGCTGTTCTTTCATTTTATCGTTTTTTTAAAGTCCAAGTGAAAGCTGCTGTTTAGGAGAATCGACTGTTATTATCTTCAAAACGGAGAGGTTTCTTTACTGCCACAAAGTGGGAATGCAGCAAAAAGAAATTTACACACATCAGTAAAACGAACAACGAATGACAAAACCCTCATTCAAAGTCAAGGTCCTCGATCAGGGTCGTAATTTGTTTTTTTTTTCTCTCGTCGATGTTCTATTTTGATTTTAAAGACAAGACGAAAACCTTGATGCACATAATATTACAACCCCTATTTCCTTCCTCTTCAATTACCTTCATAATAACAACATCTCACTAAAGTAAAACCAGCTTTACGATCCAATTTAATCCCTCTGTCTTTGCTCCTGCAATTCCTACATACATTATTTCATTAAAAAATTGAAGTGCACAGTAATTTTGGCCATTGGGACATATCATTGAGTCTAAATACGACCTCGTATCTCCAGTCACTGATTACTCTAACGACAGCAAACCGCACAAAGCGCTTGTTAGCCACACAGAAGATTTTAGTCATTAAAGCGGAAGACATTTGAGGACCGATTTTAAATTACGCAGGCTGAATTTTTCTCCGAAACATGTTACTTAGTATGTCTATGATGACGTGTCCAATGCGTCTCATCTTCCAGCAGTAAATGACAGTGTTCGAAGATGAATTCAGGAACATGCGAGTCAATGAGTAAAGAAAAAAATATTAAGATCATTTTAAATATCATCCCAGAGTGACAGCTAGCTGTGTTTGTTAGGATATTAATAAAACAAACGTAATGGAACTTTTGGTTTCATCAATTTTCTAACACCTCAGTTCTTGCAATTACCGAATTAGTTTTTTCAGTAATCGTTGCTGTTAGAGGTAAATGCGTATAATTTGAGTTTCTACAGCAGAAAGTCATTAAAAATAGTTCATCTGTCATTTATCCTCCCGAGGGACTGGTCATTATTCATCGCCTGTGGGGGAGGGAGGCTGGAAAATTTTGATTGTGCCAAGACATATCCCCCACTACTCTGATCGTATTTCAGAGGCTGGCAACGACAACAAAGCCCTATTTCGATTAATCGACCGTCTCCTCCACAGGAAAGCAGAGAAAAGTTATCCAACCAGCACATCAGCTGAAGATCTCGCTAATACATTTGTTACCTTCTTCGAAGATAAAATAACCCGTATTAGAAGTATACCTACTCCTTCTGAAATTCCGGATTACTTTTCCTCACTGGATATTTCCACCACTTATTGTGAGCTTAGCAACTTCTCACCTACTTCAAATCTTGAACTATCGAAGATTGCCCGCTCTGTTGTGCAGAAATCCTGCTGTCTGGATCCTTTACCAGCCACGTTACTTAAAGAACATCTGGACCTGCTCCTACCATCTATTTGTAGTATTGTAAACCTGTCACTGGTATCTGGTTTTCTACCTTCGTCCCTTAAAAACGCTGTTGTAACCCCTCTTCTCAAGAAACCGAACCTGGACCACGAAGTTCTTGGTAATTTTAGGCCTATTTCGAACCCTATAGGTTATCTCGAAAGTCACTGAGAAGGTTGTGGCAGTGCGTCTTCAAGCTTATCTTGACTTCTACCAACTCACAGAGCCGCTACAATCTGCCTACAAATCATTCCACAGCTGCGAAACCGCCCTTCTCCGTGTTCAAAATGACATTTTGCTTGCTATCGATAATCGCCACTGTGTCATGCTCCTGTTACTAGATCTCTCCGCTGCATTTGACACTGTTGACCATGTAATACTGCTCAAAAGATTGAATTCTAAATTCTCAATACGTGGCACTGCACTTGACTGGTTCCGCTCCTACCTTACTAACCGCACACAAGTTGTCCTAATCGATGGGAGGAAATCGCAATCTCGTGAGCTCAAGTGTGGAGTACCTCAAGGTTCCGTTCTTGGGCCGATCCTTTACCTACTTTACACTGCTCCTCTTGCCGACATTTTACGTTTTCACGACATGCAATTTCATTTCTACGCCGATGATACTCAGTTGTACATTTCTTTTTCCGTTAACGATGATCTGGAATTAACCAGTAGCATTGCTAAAATCGAGAATTGCTTATCTGATCTAGATAAGTGGATGGCCTTAAATAAGCTGAAGCTAAACAAAGACAAAACTGAACTTCTCTACCTTTATTCAAAGCACAACCCTCAACAGTCTATACCTCCACTTCGTTTTGGTTCTGATATAATACAGCCGTCTTCATCTTCCAGAAATATCGGCGTCGTTTTCGATAGTACTATGTCAATGCTCCCTCATGTCAAATCTGTCTGTAAATCTGTATTCTATCATCTTCGGAACATTTCTCGTATAAGGAAATTACTATCCATTAAGACCACTGAGACTCTAGTCCACGCCTTTGTAACCTCCAAGTTGGATCACTGTAACTCTCTTTTATACGGTGTCCCCAAATACGCTATCCAAAAGCTCCAATCAGTGCAGAATGCGGCGGCTCGACTTATTACCAGCTCTCGTAAATTCGACCGCATCACCCCTGTTTTGTTCGACCTACACTGGCTTCCAATTTCTGAGCGAATTAAATTCAAAATAATTCTGCTCACCCATAAAGCTCTTCACCAGCAGTCTCCTGTCTACATTCAAGACCTAATACGCCGTTATTCAACTTCAAGAACGCTCCGTTCGTCTTCAACATTGCGTCTGACTCCTGTCAACTTTAATCTCAAGTCCTATGGCTATAGAGCTTTTGCTGTTTCGGCTCCTGAACTGTGGAATAAACTACCTGATGACATTCGTTCTTGTGACAATTTAAATATTTTTAAACGTAAACTTAAGACTCATCTTTTTAAAAATTACTTTATCTTCCATGTCAAACGCCTATATCTTAGACATCAGTTAACTTAAGACTTACTTTTAATATCATTTTAACGTGTGATATTTTAATATTTTTGTAAAGCGCTTAGAACAGGACTGGATAAGCGCTATATAAGTAGTTTTATTATTATTATTATTATTATTATTATTATTATAAGACTCTGTAACATTCTTATGACCCCTCCCTCCTTAATAGCGTGTTAGTTTTTAATAATCTCCCTTTATACTCTGCTGGCGACGACTGATAACCCACCTTTATTTTACCCCTGAAAACCAATATTCTCTGGGGCAATTTTCTTTAGTCCCCCCCCCCCCCCTCTTGAAACTCTTTTGGCAAACATTGATCCCCGCTCTGGTCCACTGAAAGCAAGGAGAAATTGAGGCTTTTAGAAATATTCTCCGAGATTTTGAAAGGCATTTTCAAATTGCCACGTAATCATCATGAATTTAAGCCGTCGATCATCTGTAAAAATAAATTTTTGAACACTTTTATTACGAGACTAATTTTTTTAAATTCACTTTATTGACCCTTTAAGTTGTCTTGAAATTGCAAAGAATTGCCAAATTGGTTCCAAAACCTATCTGTTATTGCATCTAAGCGAAAGGAGATATCAGGGAAAAACATACTCAATTTTAAGTTCTCAAAACTCCCGGTATTATATATCAAGAACCACCTGAAAACATCTGCGGAATTCTGCCTTTGAGGCAGAAGGATGGCACAAGTTTCCTTCTCTTGGGGCATCTCATTTAGCTGTCAGTGCTAGTTTTAAGAGATGGCGAAACAGTTGGCATTCATCCGCAAAATTTACAAGGAAAAAAGAGAAACCTTTTCCGAAGCAACCACCGTTATTGGTTTCTAATTGTGATTTTAAATTAAGAGCGACGGAGGCCTTGATATGAATAAAATCATGTGTCTTATCCCACTTTTATTTGCATCCTTAACTACAGTTTCACTATCCATCGATGACAATACTAGCTTTCTTGCTAAAATTAGCCTCTTCCCTTTCCGTAGTGATTATTCGATATATTGTGTACTTAAAATTGGAACTACGCAATTATACACCGGGCGGGTCATATCACAAAGTTTTTGTACAATGTTTTTTGTCCCTACTTCACTTTGTCGTAAACAAACCGTTCAAAGTCCTTCTTAGAGGCACAGAGGGGATAAGTTATCAATATGGACGACACTCGATGACCGATTGTAGTTGATCCGAAGTGGCCGATTGCTGTTCCAAGACATCTTTCGTAGTATGTCTACGATAGCGTGTCGAATGTGTCTCATCTTCCAGCAGTAAATGACAGGGTTCAAAGATGAATTGAGATACAAGAGAGTCACTGAATAAATATACAATGTTTTTAAAGCGGTAGTCGAGCCGTAGATTCGAATAACAGTCCCGCAAATTAAGTAGGGCAAATAACAAATTAACAACACGAGATATACGTAGAATATGCCAACCGTGGATTTAATGAGAACAGTTAAGTTTTTTATCTCCTCAGACTGAGCTTCGTTTCGTATTTGTATGGACTGAATCTCATTCTTGTGCCGTCGGACGGTTAGATATATCCTGATGTACACCACGAGTGTGATAATAAAACCGAAAGCAGCATTTATCGTACTTATAAGGTACAGAGCATTATTAGGCCCCCACAATGTAATCAAAGAAACAAATGCACTGTACACCCAGATGCTGATCATTGCAACAACAACACGTCTGTGAGTCACAAGCTCCTGGTATCTGAGATGAAGATGAACAGCAAAGAACCTGTCTACACTTACAGCCACAACACTAAGGAACGAAGCAGTTAAAAATAAACCACTTAAAATCGTCCATACTTGTGTAGTGTTACAGCCAAGATTGTGTAGTCGAAGCCAGTTGATCAGAAAGAAAGTGTATAATGGTTGACTAAAAAAACCAACAGCAACATCCGAGCAGGCAAGACTTAGCAGCAGAGTTTTCAAAGTTTTTGGCATTGTTGCAGTTTTGTGTATGGCATAGATTGTCACAATATTCAACATGAAGGCGGTGTAACTAAGAAAAATGTTAAAGACACAGTTGGCGATATAAGTCGCACGAAAATCTTCAAGTTCGGTGAATATGGGCAAATACTGCGAAGACTGGTTACAATACAATTTGTTCATGATTTTTGCTTGGAGCCGCTATTTCAGACAAATAATGAATGGTCAGCGATGTAGCACCCTCCGTCATTTAACGATCAAATAAACAGTCCTTAGATCTCGGCAGATGGTTACGGCCGGTGCTGAGATGGGAAGTTGAAAGAAAATAATTTGAATTATGAGTTTCCTTGATTACCTCCATTCGCTTGACACGTGCAACAGTGCGTTTTTATAAAATAATTCAAATAGTACGCGCGCTCTGATTGGCCATAAAACCATTTTACACGAGCGTATGTAAACACGGTTTTCGTTCCTCTTTCATTAGTTATTTTATAAAAGAAATGTAAAATGGTTTCCGTGTTTACATAGCCTGATGTAAACACTTGCTACTTCCTACGCTTATCTCGTGTTCTCCCAACCTCCCGCGTGTTTACATCAGGCTGTGTAAACACGGAAACCATTTTACATTTCTTCAGTAAAGCTCGTTTAATTTCCCGTTCATGTTTGATTATTCTAAAACAAATTCTGAAAAAATAAGTAGCTTATGGACCGATCATTGTTTATCGCAGGGCAGTGGGGGGGTTGAGGGTTTTTTGGGGTTCGGAGATTTTGGTTGTCACGACGAAATTTACCTGTTTCCCCGATAAGCTTCTGTTAAGCTTCTTCTCTCCTATTCAATGGCAACCAGTTCTCTATAGTCCTGTAAAGGGTAGTCAGTTAGAGGTCTCCAAGTGGTGCCAGACCCCCGGCTTAACCCCTAAACGGGAGTGAGCGAAAGTCCTCGAAGAAAAATTGCGCTTGCCTTAATGAGAACACACTTTCACGGGCATAAAGTTGAAAAGCATCTGTTTGCGCTAATTTTAATGAATGGATCATGTTGCAAGCAAAGATCCTGCAGTATTTTACTTTCAATTTACGACTTTTAGCATCATTGTGACAATGTGAAATATTTGCAATTAAAAAAAGATTTTCATCGTTATTGGTTTCGTTTCCACAAGTCTGGCAATCAACTAGGCCTGTTTGGAAAAAAAACAAAACAAAACGAAAATAGCTTTTGAGTAACTTGCTGTGACCATGCAATTACCGCGTTTTACCTAATTTACTTTTTCCGATGACATGGCACGGAACTTTCATCTTAAATGACCCAATTTTACGGCGACAGTTCACTTCTTGCGTGACCATGCTGATCGAGATATAGTTCTATCTTTCTTTATAATAATTTGGAGGAAGATTAAAGGTGTACATAATTTAAGCGGCTAAAATTAGCATGTTGGAGTCGTATACGGTGCTCATATTAATAGACAGTAAACTCCTTAACTCCCCTATTAAAGTGTAATTTAAGGAAAGTTTAAAGCAAGCAGATAAGGAGAATGGCAAAGATGATCAATTTAGGGACATGGTATTGATAGCAAGATGGTCACGAATAAACCACAAATAAATGTAAGTTATGATCATGAGTGAAGGGAATAAACTTCCGGCTCTTTCTTTAGAAGTTAAAAGCTTTAAATGATTCCACGATGAAATAGTATAGCGTCACATTTGGGGCGTCACGTTTTGCCTTCAGGAAGAGAAGAATCCAGGAGCACGTATTTAAGAAGGAAAGGGAAATTATTGCCTATCATTGTCTATTGAGTGAATGGAAAACGAAAATAGTTGATTGATATGCTTGAAAACTAAACAAACAGCGAAGAGCATTTCGTTTGCCTTTGGTTACACTTTTAAAAATTTAAGTAAAAATTTATTCAAAGCAGAATGCTGCATACGAAAACGAAAGTTATCGACTAGTCTGCAGATGTTTTAATGTGATTTTACATAATACTAGCTGACCGGGAATTTTATGAGCTTAAAATTAAACATGTTTTTCTTTGTAATCTTTTTTCACTTAGACGCAATAACTGATAGGTTTTTCAATTAATTTAACAATTCTTTCTAATTTCTCGACAAATTAATGGTCAGTTACGTAAAATATAGTCAAAAAATTATTCTCGTAATAACTCAGACAATACGCATTTACTTCTAAAAGCAACGATTACTGCAAAAACTCATTCAGGAAAAGCGAGATCAGTGATACCAAAAGTTCCATAAGTTACATAACTTATTATCGGTTAAGATAATTAAACGAAACATTGCCTATTGTTCAGAATGTATTGTTATCATCTTTAACGCTTTTTGATGTTTTATTTATTACCTAAGGAGGATTTTGGTTGTGTCAAGATAAAAACAATATTATCCCCCATAAGACTGTAATATTCTTATTACCCCCTCCTGCCTTGTTGCCTTGTCAGCTTTTAAGAAAGCTGAAAAGCGACGCTGTTACAAATATTCTCCAAGGCAAGTTTCTTTAGCCCCCCCTCCCTCGAAACTCTCTTGGCGACAACTGATTCCCACTCTGTTGCCCCTGAAAACCAGGAGAAATCGAGGCTTTTAGAAATATCCTCCGAGATTTTGAAAGGCATTTTCAAATTGCCACGTAATCATCATAGATATGCCCAAAATTTAAGCCGTCGATTATCTGAATAAACAAACTTTTGAACACTTTTATTTCGAGACTAATGTTTTCAATATATCTCATTGTATTGACCCATCAACTTGTCTAGAAACTGTAAAGAATTGTCATAATGATTCTAAAACCTATCCCTTATTTGCATGTAAACAAAGGAAATAACCAGGAAAAACATACTTAATTTTAAGTTCTTAAAACTCCCGAAAACATCTGCAGGGTAATCAGTAACTCTTAAGCCACCTCTGCCGTCGTTTTCATATGCAGCATTCACCTTCGACTAAGTTTTTACCTCAAAAGTGTTAAGGCAAACTCATGCTTTTTGTAGTTTGTTCAATTTTCAAGGATATCGATCAATTCATTTTCTTTTCGAATCCACTCATTAGCCAATGATTAACATCGATTATTCTTCCCTCGTAAATACTAGCTCCTGTTTGTTTTTCTTCCTGAGGGCATTACGAGACGCCCTAAATGTGACGCTATATCGCTTTATCGTATGATCAATTAAAGTCGTTAACTTCTAATGAAAGAGCTGGAAGTTTATTCCCTTCGCTCCTGATCATAACTTATATTTATTTGTTGTCTAGCTTTGAGAATCTTACCATCAATACCATGTCTCCAAATTGATCATCTCTGTCATTCTTATTACCTGTTTGCTCGAGAATTTCTTCAAATTACACGTTAAGGATGGTCAAAACGTTGACTGTTTATTAAAAGGAAGAAGTTCGTTTCCACTATTACAAAGTAATTTGAGAATTCTGCTTTTGATTTAATTGACCCATCAACTTGTCTAGAAATTGTCATTATGATTCCAAAACGTATCTGTTATTTGCATATAAACAAAGGAAATAACAAGGAAAAGCATACTTAATTTTTAAGTTCTCAAAACCCCAGGTGTTATAAAGAACCACCTGCAAACATCTGCGGGGTAATTAATAACTCTAAAGTCACCTCTGCTTTCGTTTTCATATGCAGTATTCTCCTTCGACTAAGTTTTTCCCTCAAAAGTGTTAAGGCAAACTCATGCTTTTTGTAGTTTGTTTAATTTTCAAGGATATCAATCAATCCATTTTCGTTTTGAATCCACTCATTAGCTAATGATTAACATGGATTCTTCTTCCCTCGTAAATACTAGCTCCAGTTTGTTTTTATTCCTAAGGGTATAACGAGACGCTCTCAATGTGACGCTATACCTTTTTATCATAGGATCAATTAAAGTTTTTAACTTCTAATGAAAGAGCTGGAAGTTTATTCCCTTCGCTCCTGATCTTACCTTATATTTATTTGTTGTTTAGTTCTGAGAATCTTACTATCAATACTATGTCCCCAAATTGATCATCTCTGTTGTTCTTATTACCTGTTTGCTTGAGAATTTCTTCAAATTATACATTAAGGGTAGTCAAAGCGTTGACTGTATATTAAAAGGAAGACGTTCATTTCCACTATTACAGAATAATTTCAGAATTCTGCTTTTGAGGCAGAAGGATGGATGGCAAAACATTTCCTTCTGTTTTATTTGAAGCTGGCATGTCACTTAGTTGTCAGTGCTAGTTCTAAGAGATTCGGCGAAACAGTTGGCAGTTATGGGCAAAATTTACAGGGGAAAAAATGAAACCTTTTCCGAAGCTTAAGTCCGCAACCACCGTTATTGGTTTTAAATTCTGATTTGAAACTAAAAGCAACGGAAACCTTGATGTGAATAAAATCATGTGTCGTATCCTACTTTTATTTACATCCATAATTACAATTTCTCTATCCATCGATTTCAAAACTAGCTTTCTTGCTCAAATTAGCCTTTCCCTGTCACACTACAGATTATTCGATTTATTGTGTACTTAAAATTAGAACTACGCGATTATTTCGCTGCCGGGTCATATCACTAAGTTTATGTACAATCTCGTTTGTCCCCATTTCACTTTGCTGTAAACAAATACAGTGTATAGTCTTTGTAAGCCACACAGAGGGGATCAGTTATCAATATGGACGACACGCGATGACCGATTGTAGTTTACCCGAAATGGCCAATTGCTGATCCAAGGCATCTTTCGTAGTATGTCTATGATAGCGTGTCGAATGTGTCTCATCTTCCAGCAGTAAATAACAGGGTTCAAAGATGAATTTAGATACATGAGAGTCAATGAGTAAAGTAAAAGTTTCTTCAAAGCGATATTCGAGCCATAGATTTGAATAACAGCCATGCAAATTATAAAAGGCAAATAACAAATTAAAAACACGATATATACATAGAATATGCCAACTGTGGATTTAATGAGAACAGTTAAGTTTTTTATCTCCTCAGACTGAGCTTCGTCTCGTATTTGCATGGACTGAATGTGATTCTTGTGCCGTCGTACAGTTTGATATATCCTGATATACACCACGAGTGTGATAATAAAACCGAAAGCAGCAGTAATTGTTCTTATAAGGTTCCATGCATTGAAAGGCCCCCACAATATCATCAAAGAAAAAAATCCACTGCACACCCATATGCTGACCACCATAACAACAACACGCATGTGAGAGACAAGCTCCTGGTATCTGAGATGAAGATGAACAGCTAAGAACCTATCTACACTTACAGCCACGACACCAAGAAGCGAAGCACCTGAAAATAATCTACTTGAAATCGTCCACACTTGTTGAGTGTTACAGCCAGGAATGTCAAGTCGAAGCCAGTTGATCAGAAAGAAAGTGTAAAATGGTTGAATAAACAAACCAACAGCAACATCCGAGCAGGCAAGACTTACCAGCAGAGTTTTCAAAGTGTTTGGCATTGTTGAAGTTTTGTATATGGCGTAGATTGTCACGATATTCAACATGAAGGCGGTGTAACTAAGAAAAATGTTAAAGACACAGTTGGTGATAAAAGTCGAACGAAGATCTTCAAGTTCAGTGAATATGGGAAAAAACTTCAAAGACTGGTTGCAATACAATTTGGTCATGATTTTCGCTAAGAGCCGCTATTTCAGACAAATAGTGAATGGGTTGCGATATTTTAGCAGGCCAACTTCTCACAAGCCTTACTAAGGATAACAACGATAGCACCCTCCGTTATTCAACGTTCAAGTAAACAGTCCTCAGATCTCAACAGATGGTTGGGACTGGTGCCGAGATGGGAAGTTAAAAGGAAATAACTTAATTATGAGTTTTTCTTGATTACCTCCATTCGCTTAACACGTGTAACAGTACGTTTGTTTAGCTCGTTTAATTTCTGATTCATGTTCGATAATTCTAAAACAGACTCTGAAAAAAAAGTGGCTTAGTTACGGACTGACCACTGTTTATCAGTGTTTAGCGGGTGGGGAAGGGGGGGGGGGGGTTAGGAAACGAAATGAAAATACTTTTTAATTCCTATATGCAAATTAACTGCAGCCATCTGGCTGCAGCAATCGTGTTTATACGATACATGTCACAAACAGTTTCCGTAACAACATTTAGCCATTTAAAGAAGTGTTTTTTAAGAATGTGGAAACTCAATTGTCATATCCTTTCTTGAATGCATTACGTAAAAATTTCAAGAGCCGTTTTCTTTGAACACAATGCGCTAACGGAATCCAGTTTGTTTTGATAAATAAAGTTGTTCATTTCGCTCAAGTGTTTTTATCTCGATAAAACACAGTCCGACAGTTTATTAATATTGGGACCGAGAACCACCTTGAAATCAAATAATAAATAATGGGAGGTTGGTTTGTACATTAGAAATAAGTATCATATCACGTTTACGCCGTTGTATTTGAGATATAGTTGTGCTGAAGAACAAACAAGGAGGGAGAGCTTTCTTGCAGTTAATAAATTATGCAAATAAGCTACAGAAAGTCATGTAATGTGTAGTCCTGAACACATTTGTTTTTGCTGTTTTTTGGAGTTTTTTTATTATTATTATTGCAGAAATTTTTTTCCTTTTTTTCACGACAAAAATTTTTTATTATATTTTTATGACCATTTTTATTTTTTATGAGGCGCTAAAAAAGAGCCGTGTGTTTCTGTTTCACCTAATTCAATTATTGATTAATTTTGATAAAGAAATTCGAAGGCAGCTACATTTCCTTTTAATACAGGTACATCTCTTTAAAAACACACGAAATGTTTTTTGCTTAAAGCATATTAAAGTTAAAATTTTATAACTTTTCTGCGTGGCAATTCTATTTTGTGCGAAAGAATATTGGGTAAACTTGTTTATTTCTTGCTAATTCAATTAAAATCTGTCAGGAAAAAAACAATTTGTCGGCAAGATTTTCAGACAAATCCGAGACAGTATTTCTTGGGACGTTTTCTTTGTTACCACTAAAAATGCTTGCTGTCCCCTCAATTGTTCTCTTCACGCAAACTCGGTTCTAGTAGGGAGAAAGTAGAGCATGTTTTGCTCTCCGAGTGTAACGCAGATATATCCGCCCATTTGGCTAGCTGCTACTTGTCAAAATACAGCGAAGTTACAGAAGCCAAGTTAATCATGGCGAGAGCGGGATTCAGCATTTGTCGAGAACTCAGCTTGAGGGAATGACCATCTGCCCGAGGCACAGACACTTACCAGGAAGATTCAAACGAGGTCCAAGATCGTGCCAATACCCCGGCCATTCTGGGAAAGTTACAAGTGTGGCGGGCAGCACGTCATAACCTTCCAAATAGCTGACGAAATAAGACTTATATTAAAGAAATCGCCGCTGCAAGATCACGTAAGTACCAATAGCCTTGTGGCTCTCTCTAGTTCTGTTTCCTCAATTGTCAATACTCCTATAAGTTTTTGCTGTTGTTAGTCACATGTCCATTTCCCTCGGTTAATTATTGGTGTCGCAGTCGTAAATACAAAAATGCGTTTTTTATCACCAACCAAAGAAATTTCTTTAATTCTTTTATGCTATTGCTACACTAAGACTACTGGCCAGCCTGGTTGGTGGCAATGAAGGACACAAGTATAGTCCTGGGCGGTGAATCCGCATCCCCTCCCCATGCCTCGCGCGATGTCGCCCCTCTTTTACTCGTCTCTTCGGTTCAAAAACACTTTTCCTTTATCTCACACCTACAAGGACAACTGTTACGCACGATAGAGACTATAGGCCTCCTACATGTGTTTGAAACGCCTGGCATTTCTCTTACAAATGATCTAGGCTAAGCTAGACGATGACGATGACGATGATGAAGACGACGAATGATTTATCAGTTGTATTGATACATTTTTATAGCTATTTACACCACTTCCCAAAAGAATCATTCTGAGCGACTGTTGGGTTTGGGATGACACAGTTCTTACAAAGGTTCAGTCAACCAGGTGCCTGAGGAGAAGATACATCATCGTGTTCGCATTGATATGACCAAAGTCGATCATTTCGTCGAGTTCATTAATCGCCCATACTTTTATCAAGACGTATCTTACGGAACTAAATTCCTTAAGCTAGACAGTGGCAAACCATCGAGATGCGGAACGTGGTGCGTACCGTGACAAGGTCTACGATGATTAGCCAGTACATACATTTCTGTCA